TAAGAAAGAAACTCATACAGGTTTGGAATGACATGAGGGTGAGTAAATAATGACAACTTTCCATTTTTGGGTGAACTTTTCCTTTTAATTGATCGAAAGTGGTATGGTAGTAAAGACAATTATTCTTATTTTTTATGTAATTCTGTTTTTAATAAATGCTGTTAATTGTACTTTCTATTCATCAAGAACCCTGAAAATAATATTGTGGTTTTTTACATCAATATTAAACAGCACAACTGTTTTCAACATTAATAATAAAATCAGCATATTCAAATAATTTCTGAAGGATCATGTGACACTGACGACTGGATGTTGATGAAAATGTAGTTTTACATCACAGGAATAAATTACATTTTAAAGTATGTTCAAACAGAAAATTGTTATTTCAAATTGCAACATTTCACAATATTGCTGGTTTTAATGTATTTTTAATTAAACGCAGCCCTGGTGAGCAGAAGAGACTTTTCAAAAATATTTGAAATCTTACTCACACCAATCTTTTGATCATTCTGCGCAACCCTATTATTATACACTTGATAAATTAAACATTTTTGATGAACTTAAGAACATAGTAAATGATTGATGCAGTCATGAAATCAAAAACCCTCCACTTGATGAAATGCGATCACAAATGATCATAAGACACGCATTTGAGATGCAAGTTAATAGCATGTGTAAACTGTGATAGGTCTCGGTTGAAATCTTGTGACAGGATCACTTGAAACAGAGCAGGTATAAACATAAGCACTAAATCACTGCATTTAAATCAGAAGTTACCTTCCACCGCGGTGACCTGGTGTATTTGCTGGACTGGGGTTTTGAGAGTTTGCTGGACTTTTGCCTTCCTGACTGATATGACTGCTGCCTGTTACAAACAAAACCGATTGAGATGACCATTAATCTGGTTCTTACACTGCTGGACTGAAAATATATTTTTATATTTGAATATTATATTTTTTTATATATGATATTTAGTTTTTTTGTCTTTTCAAAAACTCAAAGTCAATGTGACACCCATTTTAAAACTTTATTTCCCTAATGTGATGCATTGCTTCAGAATCGCAGAAAGTTGTTTCAGTGGAAGAGCAAGTTACACATTAAAGACTAATTTCCTCTCTTTTCTTTTTGTTTTTAATGATTTGCACACATTAATCACTCACCAAATGACCATTATCATGTAAGTAAATGGCATCAAAATTAAGTCTGTATACAATCCCAGCACAACCTTAATTTTATTTCCTCTACCACTGTTTTCTAACGTCACATTCTTAAAGATTATGGTGGAAATGTTCCTAACTCATGAAATGTGTGTGTGTGTGTGTGTGTGTCTCTATGCTGAAATGATAGACAGTAATAAATCTCTAGTGAACACGCACACAAAAAAGGAAATTCCTACCGGCTCTGAACTGTATGTTGAGCTGCCGTCCATAGAGACGGATTCCATTCAGCAAGTTTAAGGCATAGGGCACGGACACTTCATGTTTGAAGTTTACAAATGCAAACTGTTTTGATTTTCCATCACTGTCTTTAGGGATTTTGACTTTTATCAACGGCCCAGCCTATTGGAAAGGGAAATACAGGTGAGACTTCTGATTAATGTTACTTAAGCCAAGACACCACTAGGGTTGCAAAAAGGTGGAAAACGTCCAGTAAATTTCGGAAACATTCCAGATATTTTGGAAAGTTTCCAAGATTTTTTATTTTTTTGAATATTCCAGGGAGTTTTGGAAAGTTTCCAGAAATGTTCCACCCCTTTGCAACCCTAGACACTACAGGCAAAACCATCGTTTTTTTTTTTCCTCCTTCATGCACTGGTCCATTTTGAGTTGCTACTTTGCTTACTTTGTCTACTAGTGTCTGTAGATTTTAATTAAAATACATATCTTTAGAGGCAATTTCTCAAAATGAGCTTTTTCCTGCACTGATCCAGAAACTAAACCTAAAAATATGTATTCCCATTTATATTGTGATATGGTTTTTACAGTGGGGGTTTGTTTATACACCATTTGCCTGATTTGTGGAACATTTAATTTCTAAAAGATTGAGAAAAGTCTTTTTCTGGCCGTTGACCTTATGTTAAAAAGAGACATCCAAAATCTCCTCTGTAGAAACATGTTAACTGTAACATGTTCACAAAATAAAACAAGCATTTTGAACCAGGCTTCATCCAATGTTCCGTTTTCGGTTCTGGTAATGTATGCAAATTCGTGCATAATTAAGTAGATAATGTGTCGTTTGTATCGTTTCAAAAGTAGCCTATATTTCAGACGTCTTCTCATATACAACAATTGCATTAATGTTCTGCAATTAATCAACTGGGGAACTATGGCGATATTTATTTGTTAAAATGGCTTGCCTTAATTGTAAATGAACGACACATTAATCAAAATAAAGACTTAATGCAAATGAATGACAAGAGCTGAGCTAAAGTGTATGTGCATAGACAACAACAATAACTTAATATAAACAGCAGACAAGTTACTTAATACTCTGGAATAATTGTTCAAATTAAGTGTAAGCGTGTTCAAAAATGCTCCAAACTAAGTTAATTACTTCGAACTCCCGCAAACAACAGAGACACGGGCTGATAGTAATTAGAAAAACTATTTCATACAAATTTAAAAAAGACACCATCGTACTTGTTTGTAAAACATGCATCTGTTGCCTTCAATTAGATCGTTTGCATATGGACTAAAACCAAAACAACTAGCATTAGCAGGCTAATCAACGACGCTAAAGCACTCACCTGTAAAAACAGCTCGAATATAACTTCTTCTGTTACTTGAGGGTCCAGGTTCCCGACAAACAGAGTCCGGTCAGCCTCATCGGCTATTCCCATTTTCCAAAATATTGATAGTCCAGCTGGTTGATTGCGTTAACTCTGTTAGCTTGCATTTATCACCAGCCCATCGGTCTTTAAAACGCGTTTGCCGTGTGTGAGCATTAACTGTCGTGATGAAGAGTCGCTTCACGACACATGCTTACAGTTCCAGTAATGACCACAGGGAGGCCCTTTCACTGTTGAAGAAATACAGCTTACAAGTCATAACTGTCCATAAGATTTTCCGTAACACGCTCTATATAATAAACTGAGATTCCTTAGTTAAACTACTTACATTGTTCTTAAACAGTGTTGTTAAAATGTTAATATTTTCAAACACCCACATGAAAAAATACTATAGTAACTTATAGTAAATACTATAGTGTTTTTGAACCATACTATAGTAAAGTACTTGAATTAATTTGCTGTGGTAATTCTATAGTTGCTGTGGTAATATAACAGCTAGAGTAATGTAAACAAATTACTTTACCCAATACTGTACTAAGTTTTCTACAACTATAGGGCAGATTATACTACAATACACTACAGTTTACTGTAGTAAAAACTAAAGTATACTACAGTATTTATTATAGCTTATCAGTTCACTATAGTTAATACTACAGTATGCTGTAGCATTCATTAACAATGATTCATTAACATTCATGCATGCTACAGCATAAATGAATGTACAACAGTGTTGTAAATACTATAATATATACAGTATAATACACTTTACTATAGTATGGTTCAAAATTACTTTAGTATTTTTTCATGTGGGATATCATGCAATATTCGCAAATGAGTCACTCCATGTTATTAAATGTAGTATTGCAGGCTTAAATATTTTAATAAAATAATGAATTGCAAACCATACTGAAAGCATATATTAGGCTATAGCTATGTATGTATGTATGCATATATATTTTAAATTTTTTAACTTGTGACGTACATATATAGAATGACTAGAGCAATTAAATTAGATCAATAGATCACTAGATCAATTCAATTTAAAGGGGTGGTTGATTGCGATTTCACTTTTTTAACGTTAGTTAGTGTGTAATGTTGCTGTTTGTCCAACATGACCGGCACTAAGTTTGTGTAGTTGGTTATTTTGACGGAAGTAAGTCTATTTTCAGGCGTTGCGTAATCATGCTCTGCTCTCCTCTGCTTCTCAATCGGGCTCAAACTGATAAGCGATATTAACGACGCCGTTGTTTACAATACAACCGGAGCACATGCCGCTGAGGTGAGGGGCGGGTGAGGTGAGCCAATAACAACACACTGGGCTAGCTAACCAATCAGAGCCCATTGCCTATTTCTGAGGGAGGGACTTCATAAAAGAAGGAAATGATTAGCCCGTTTCTCAGAGAAGGGACAGAGCGGTGTGGAATGAAGGTAAATTATGTGAAAAATAATGCGTTTTTTGAAAAACGAAGCATTAACACATGTTAGACTGCACCCCATAAACACAATCAAGCCTAGAAAAAACCCAGTGAACCACCCCTTTAAAATCCATTAAATCCAAGCAATCTATTGATTTATTTTAATTGATCTAATTTAAAGGGATAAATCATGATAACTATGTTAGTGCTTTTTGATACCCCTGTCACACCTCTTTTTTACTTTGAAATAATAGCGAACTGTTGCTTTAATAATTTGATCAAGAGGAAGTGACATCATTGTGTCTTCAGAGGAGCCACGTTCAAAGTTTGTAAACTGATATATCATTTATAATTTTGCTTGAAAAGATTAGTTCACCCCATCACATAAGAACAGAATCTGTTTATTTATTTATTTTTATGTATTTATTATTATTATTTTATGTATTTATTTATTTTTTTGTGATAGTTGACACTAAAATGCGAATGGATTAAGGCCACAAGCTTGATATGAACCTGAAAACCAGCAGCCATTCTTTGAATTGTTGAATATACGAATATGATAGTTGTTGATTATGATAATTATACTCATCTTATTCTGAATTGGTCTCGTGCACAAGTGCGATAATGTTACTTTATTAGTTGCTTAATTAGTTTTTTAGCTGTGATGTTGTGGAAGAGGTATGCTGGATATGTCTCAAAATTGAAAGCCTTTTTTTAAAGACTATTTTTGTTGAAACAGTGTGTTTTCTGCATATATAGAGATTAATAGTTTTGATCTTTTTATTGATGATGGTGCTATTTAATTTGAAGGATATACAGTACTCCAATATCTGTTTGATTTGAGATTCAGGAAAACTTTTAAGCAGCAGTGGTAACCGTACCTTTATTTACAGGTGTTGAAGTCGCAAAATATTTGAACCTTCTTGCATTAAATAGTTGATTTTCTTCAGTATTTTATTTATTTATTGTAAAAATATTCATTGCTAATGTAACCTAACACTGCACTAAAGTGGCAGTTGTAGAATCAGCTTTTAAGTTCACACTTTCTTCCTTGAATTAATCATATTTTCTTTTCCTAATAATTGTCTGTAAATGTAATGTAAATGTTTCAAACACTTGTTTATAGCTGATTGCATAATCCTAACCCCACCCCTAATCCTAACCCCTCCCCCACACCTACTCCTTAACCTACCAATACTAGGGGGGTAATAATCTGTCGGGGGGTCAGAATTGGGCACAACACCGGTTCCTTGATCTCTAGGGTCAGAAATCAGGTTGCAGTTCTGTTTGGTGCCGCTGGTCGGCGCAGGAATCACACGCTTCACCTTTAAGTGTGTAATTCCACCATCCAACAGTAGATGGCAATGTTCGCCCTCAGAACTTCACTGACGCCCACACAAACTCCAAAAGCATACTTCTATTGAATTTCTGTTGAGCCAAGGTGTATTATACAAATCTCATACAGAAAAACAAAAAGAGCGTGTGAGAGAGAGAGAGAAAAGAGCAATACTAGAAAGAAAGAAGCTCTCTGTAGTGTCTTCTCTGACTGTTGTTGTTCCTCAGTCCTGAGGCGAGCTCAGTCAGATTCTCAGGATGGCCGGTGTTGTGGGCTCCACAGAGGCAGCACATCACAGGGGAGCGCTGAATTTCCTCTGCCTTAGTCACGACTTGGATGGAAAGCAAATTATTCCCTCAGCGACCCTGTCACACATCGCTGTAGTGCACTAAAATGAAAAGTGTTGGCATTGTACTCTTACAAGTGCCCGTGTTGGCCTTTGGTGAGGACGAATAAATGCCAGCCAGTATATTTAACTGAGGCGTCGTGACCTGTCTTGTTGCAACATGTCAGCCTGCTGCCAATTAGCATAATACCTTAGTTTTCAGTCAATAAGAAATGCACCTTATTTTAGTCTTATTTTATTCCTGATAGTTGATATTGTAATGGAATTAATTGTCCATATGTTTAGAACAGGGGTTTTTATACTGGGGTCTACAATTAACGCTGGGGGTCTATGTAACAGTCTAAAAAAAAAAAGTAAATAAAGAATAAAATTAAACAAAATAAATATACTATATTAAAATTATATATATATATATATATATATATACAATAAATAATACATGTAACGTGCAACACTACAGTGAATAGAAAAAGTATGTCATAATATTTTAATATTAAAATATTATTTTTTGTAAATTTTTTGTATTACAGATTTGTAATGTTAATTTTTCACAGTATAAATTGGGTCTTTATACATAAAAATATATAGCTGCTGTTTAAATTTTAGGATGGGGGTCCCTCATATGATCATATTTGGGGTCTGTGGCATCTAAAAGAATGAAAAGCACTGCTGGAATAATTACAATCTCCATAAGCGTATTGGCGAGTCAATCAGTTGAGTAAAATATCAGATCATTTTATATTTTTTAATGACAAGACAAGGTTAGTTCAGGCTGTAAAATGTCAAGTGGTGCGATTCCCCCAAAACATTGTATTTATATAATGATGAAATTTAATATATTCATAACATTAACAATTCATTGTATTTCAAAAACAATAAAAATAATAAAATAAAAATAAATAATGATTAAGATTAGAGTGGTATTTTTTTCCATAGTTATTTTAATTTTGTTATGTATATTTTTGGTCTTTATGATTTTCCTTGTAATCATCATATACATTTTAGTTTTTCTTGAAAATGGTAGGCTATAGAAGTTGTTCAAAACCATATGAAACGAACACGAATACAAAGAGTACATTTCTAAGAATCTGGCATGTTTTAAACTATAGCTTCTTAAAAGATTTTTCCCTTTCTTTATTGTGAACGCTCTTGTTTGTCTTCCACTCAAATGCTAAAGTATGTGAGCTCAGAATAGTTCTAGTTTGTTTATATTAAGAGGCCACTTAAGCGTATTGAATTCCTGATTAAAATGTGTCCACGGCAGACCTAGGCACACTGAAATGTCAACTGTTACACTTAACATGATTAAGACATGCACTCTGGCATCCGTGTCTCTATCATATTAGAGTGTTTGTAGCCAGCCAGCGTTATTTTAGCCAAACGTGATGTGAGGGTTTATCGCTCTGAGCGAGGTTGGCCACCAAAACGAGCTGTGGAGATTTCCAGATCTAGGCCATCAGTTACGTCACATGCCGCATTCACCCTCTTCGCTAACCTTGGGGAAAATCACCAGTATCGCCACGATTATTCGCTGGTGACTTCAACCTCTGTCCCAGTTTCCCTCCTCCTCCTCCTCCTCCTCCTCCTCCTCTGCTCTTCTCTCCAGCACAAATGTCTTTTTGACTCATCATATTCATAATTCATGTGGAATGAAGTGATGTGGGATCATCAAATGCACATGAATATTTGTGGGATGAAACCTTAATCGGGCTGGCCGCTGGCAATCTCAGCCCGGTTGAATGGCTGTGTCCTGTAAGCTGAGAATGGGCCGTAATGTCTTTATGCGAGACGAACCGAGCTTACGTCCTCTCTGCCCCCTCCGCTTAGGAGAGATCGCTTTTAAATGCGCCTGAGGTGTCACGGGATGCACAAAGATCAATCTTGCTTAATGCAACGGCCAGGGAATGCATCTGCCCCCTGCTGCATCGTAAGTGAATGCCTGTAATTATTGATGGATCCGCAGAGTGCATGGATAGGCATGCACATGGAAGGGATATTAAAAGCAGAGCGATAGGCAGAATGCGGCTCGTGACATGAACTATGCAGATGTCTGATAGGAGGC